ATGGAGAAAAGAACACATTATTGTATGGATGCTAAACGAGACAAAGAAGGATTTCTATAGATCATCCATAGATCGTCTCTTAAGACCGTCTCCAGACTACATGTAGACAAATTGTGCAACGAAGTCTACTAGTGTGCACTAAGCTTAAGGATTGAGACTCTGAACTGTCCATTAAGCAAATCAAGTAATTGGTGGAAATACTGATACAATCAAGCACTTCTATTAAATCAGCAGGTGATAAAAATATCAATAGGTATAGTCAATTATTCAAATTCAATGTAAATGTTACAGTTACTTTCTAGACTTTCGTTGTCGGCATAGTTGTTTTCTCAGTATTCGAATCGGTGTTGATCGTATGTAAAAAGATTTCCAAATCTTTGGAGAAAACTATAATTTGTTCGTTATTATTTTAATAATGTATGAAACAAGTACAGGAATTCAGGGCTGAACATACTCACGTGTAGTGCAGAAGCTCTGTGATTTAAACGAATTCAATATAGCAACATAAATAGACACATACGTGGGAAGAGATGCGGGACTGGCGGTACCTATTGACTTTGAGCATCGATCGACGCGTTTTGTGGACAAGCCACAGACGCACCGCTAAACAAATCTCATAAATGTTTATTTCCAATTTAGGCGTTCATCTAACATAGTGCTTCGCTGCAACACCAACCCCGAACAGAATCAGACAAGCTTTACACACTTTTCAAATTACTACTACTCGTCGTTGCTTCTCAAGGCGATCCAAAGGACCTTAGCCGAGAAGAGAAAGAAAAGGAATTGTTTTATGTAAATATTTGAGGTGTGATAGATCTAAGAACTGTTACATTGGACTATATAAATTTTTTACTTGTCCTGAACTGAATTTTGGGTCTTTGGTTTTTAAAAACTATAATTTTTAAAGGTCTAAATATGAATTTAATTTTGATCACAGTGCGAGTCGCGGCCTGGAATGTTTGCGGATCTGCTCGAGTGTGTGATCCACTGCTTCACGCAACAAACGCGATTCCGCTTGCTGGTAGAGCCGTTGTGCCATACCTATTATGTAATCCCTAAGGTGGGGGATTTTCAAATTACTATTGAGCAACAAACAGAACATAAACCACTTTTTAAGTGCAATCTGTATAGCTAATATATTACTCAGACTTAGATTTGTCACAAGTCACAATACTCGTATAAATCGTAAGAATTGTGCTGTAAACATAAGTGACGTCAAAGAAGGACAGCGTTTGAAATACCAAAAAAAATAGCAATGCGCGGTTCCTATAGCTATAACTTATAGTTCGTATGCCTCTGTCGCCATGATGTGTCAGAAACTAACAAACACAATGGTGTTAGATTACGAAAGCAAGTGCCAGACGTCTTGGGGGCCCCCGCGCCCCCTCCCTCTAAATTCGCCACTGTGTCGTCTTGCAGACTAGTTTTTAGTGTGCAAACAGTTTATTCCCAGCTTGCTCGCTATGATCGCCTTGAGCGTCATCTAAAGCGTTCATCTATGGAGAAATGACTCAAGAAAGAAGGTTGGTTGAGTAGCAAGATCGCATCTGGATCTTGGTCTGCATGTTGTGCTATGTGAGAAAATTATTACTGAATATGCTGCCAATGAAGTACATATATCATCTGTTGCCCAACGGTTTATTTATATGCTGTCCTTTCTGGAGACAGGTTATGTTCAAAGTTTAAAAATACGATTTTTCCCTTTTTTTGTGTTTTCAAAAACTTTGAGGACAGCTACAGGAAATGACCACCGCGCCAGTCCTTTGGCATTAGGTTATATAAGGCAGGTCATTATGCATTGGGAGGGCAGTGTTAATTCACTAGGTTTCTGAAGGCCTGGCGATAGTCAGCCCTAAAATCCAATCCCTTAATGATCGGGATGGTCTTCCTCTGAAAGCCAAAGACACGATCTGATTACTCCGCGCTTCCTTAAACCAGAAGCGTATAACATGATGAATTGATATAATGCATAATAAGCTGTGACAGATGTACTCAGACATTGGACTAGGCATCGCATAGTCCAGACCCAAGTTTTTTCGCCACATGGTTCATGTAGACATTCCATTTAAGACGACGTACACCTCCAGGAATTTTGCATATTATGTATTCAGATCTACATCGCCTAGCCTTCCTGGTGTTGGGTTTTGCTTTGATTTAGCAGAAGTCCACCCGCATCGAATCATGCCTTAATATCCGACCTCACGGATTCCATTCCCAATATTGCTTCATCCAGAGAGTCTGCAGTAAAGGAGAGAGTGGTGTCGTACGTGAAAATGGTGAAAGCAACATCTATGCTTGCCAAAGAATAATATAGGACCCAATACTGAGCCCTGTGGAGCTCCGATGGACAATTCCCTTTCCTGAGACACCACTTTTCCCACTATCTCCGAAATATGAAATGTCGGTAAAATTATAGTATTTAAATTTACGGATTAGGAGCAAAAAAACTGCGGTGTATCTTAAGGACTCGCAAGGGTTCAATATTATATATATATATATATATATATATATATATATATATATATATATATATACACTTTTTCCAGCGATGTTCAATAAGTTCGATACCCTTTTTATAATAAGAACTGTCTTGCTCCTCAAAATAGCCATTAACTGCCGACATCACTTCTTCATCGTTGGAAAATCTTTGACCACTGAGCCATTTCTTCAAGTTTGGAAACAGAAAATAATCCGAGGGGGCTAAATCTGGTGAATAGGGTGCATGAGGTAGCAATTCAAACTTTAATTCGTTAATTTTTGGCCATTGCAATAACGGATTTGTGAGATGGTGCATTGTCTTGATGAAACAACACTTTTTCCTTAACCAAATGCGGCCGTTTTTTCTTGATTTCATCGCTCAAACATTGCAATGAGTTCGCATAATACTCGCCGTTGATAGTTTTGCCTTTTTCAAGATAGTCAAAGAAAAGTATCCCACGCGCATCCCAAAAAACCGACGCCATAACTTTGCTTGCAGATGAAACGGTCTTCGCCTTCTTTGGAGCCGCTTATCCCTTTTGAGTCCATTGTTTTGATTGTTAATTTGTTTCGGGTGTGAAGTGATGGACACATGTTTCATCCATGGTTATGAAACGACGCAAAAATTCTGTTTTGTTGCTAAACACTCGATTGAAACATCTTCACGACACTGTTTTTGGTCGATTGTGAGCAATCACTGCACTCATCTTGCACACAGCTTTCTCATGTCCAAATTTTCAGATAATATGCGATGAACCGCACTTTTTGAAATGCGTACTATGTCTGTTAGCTCGCGCACTTTCAGTCGACGATCATTATGTACCGCTTTGTGAATTTACTTCACCATTTCTGGAGTCGTCACCTCATTCGGTCGACCACTGCGATGCTCGTCTTGGCAGCTCATACGGCCTCGTTTAAACTCTGCTACCCAATATTTTACTGTCGTAAACGAAGCAGCAGACTCACCCAGAGTAGAATCCAGTTCAGCTTTTATATTGGTTGGGCTGAGGCCTTTGAAAAGTATTGTACCACATAACGATGACCAGTTTTCTCCATTTTCACAAATTCACTGGAAACGTTCAGTATTGATGACTGCCAAACAAATACTAAACAACGTGGTGTCTTCAAACTTGACACATATGCTTTATAGGTTACATACTTTCTGATACAATGATATTTTTCAAACCACTATCGTCATCTCTAGGCCAGGCCGGATACTTCTAGTACCACCCTCGTAGTACAACCAAAACTCAGTTCTTGCTTTTTCGAAATCCAAATTGAAACCTTGCAAGACAATCGTTTTCTTCCAAAAATTGTTTCTTGAATTTATTTTATGATTAAGGAGGTAGCCCTTTGTCCGCAGTTTTACCCGCGAAACGTCTAGGTGGTCCAATAGTCAGGTTTTCCACGCATATAAGTTGGCTGCTAACTCACTAATGCTATCAAAGGTAGAAAGCGTGATCGAAAGTTCATAGCATCATCTAAAAACAATGTTTTATGTTAGTAATAGTTTCAAGTGTACGAAGTTGCGAGTAACATAAAACGGCTCTATCGCTTGACGGTCACAGGTTGAGTGGGGCGATGGCAGGCTGCGCTGTTGCCGGCTTGGCGTTGACGGTGGAGATTTTAATACTTGTCACGATAGTTGATTGCAGAATCAATGTTGACTTAGGGAATAAAACCATGCCTACAACCTTCCCCGGGTAAGCGTACACATTCTTATGTTTCTCAGTGTTGCAGTTAAGATGTGATGATGACAGATTCCTATATAGAGTATGTACTGATTTTTGGCAACGTATCCGGTTTTATGCTAGAAATCACAAAATGTACAACCACGTTTTGCTCTAAATTCGAATGTTCCTCCGGTTATTTTGGGTTAATAAAATTAACTATTTTATATTTTTACGAGCATTCGTATTGAGTATCCACGATGCGCTTTCAAAGCCTCGCAGTTATTAGCCCCGTTTTCTGTCCCCCCACAGCATCGACCAAACCAAATTTATTCTGGCGAACACATTCTTGGCGTAGAATCGGACCTTATTGCGGGTCGGAACGGCATTTCTTACGGTCGTTAACCATCCCTGTGCCCTGTGTCTTCTCGGCAAAGGGCCGGACGCGAAGGCACATTCGTCTTTCGTACGCGTGCCACGCATTTTGGGGGTTGAGGGAGGGTTATATTTTAGGCGGAACCAAGGTGACCGCTAGTTCTTTATTCTTTCTCACAGTGGGTAGTTTCTATTCGAAAACCTATCAAATTCGCAAAAACGGCATTTATTAATATGCTTCTCCCAGTGGCAGCTCGTTGGCAAAACAAAACAGGTGTTCTGCAAATCTTACTATATTTTAAATACGTCAGTTCGATTCTGCGCTCCTTCTTGGCAGCAAATTTGTCGATCACCTTCCCGTTCAATTTTTCCATGGTCGAAATAAATTCCTTTTCAATGGACAGCATCGACAACGCTGTAAGGCGATCCTGGGTCGTAGTATTACGAAGAAAAGTCTTGATTCTTTTCAATGTTGAGAAATTTCGCACAGCCTCTGATGTTGACATAGGAGTTGTAACAATAATTTCTAATAGCTTTTTTGTTTCTTTTAGTATTTCCTCCTAACTGTTTTGTATCAAAAATTTCAAAAGAGACAGTCCTCCATGTAAATCTCGGCATCATTCCGTGCATAAATAACAGACAGCTCTGTCTTTATAAGACTTTTTTCTAATTCGGGATAAGCCAAGCAGGTAGTTTCCAACTTGTCATCAGGAAACTTACCACAGTATTCTCCAAAGTGTTCGGGAAAAAAATGGATGCGGCTACCAAAAGATTGAATTGAAATCTGTCATTTGCAGAATTCACTATATTGTCGCATACTTCTAATGCGGCAACTCGGTGATCGTGACTGCTATTATTACGTCGTCTCCTTCTGTTGCCTTGGGGTCCAGTGCAAATACCTTTGGCTTCATTTATTAAGTCATAAATTTTATTTCGACAATACATTTTTCAAAATTATCGATAGCCGTTTTAACTTGCGCTGGCTCGGTTTTTCTCTTCTGCAACTGGTTGAACAAGATGTCGACGTGAGGCATGACAAGATTTATTTATTTATCTTTATTTATTTATTTAGCAACATCCAACAGCCATAGCCAATTACAGGATGGATAAACATGAAAATATAAACAAATGCATGTTGTGGATGTATGTAGAGAAAGCTAAAACGCTGCAAAAAAAAAACCTCAAAACAGAACTGGGAAGAAAAAAAAAAGCGTTCTAGCTTTACCTACCCAGCACTCAACAATCACACCGGCAAGCATTAACGAAAATAAGGATTAATGTCTCCCAAAGTCGCACAAAACGAAAATATAACTAAAACGCTATTAACTGAATTATAATTATGGCACATTATATATATAGGGGAAAACTTAAGTATGTCAGTCCTAGGCCTGGCTAAGTAAAAAGTTAAACTAGTTCGTGTGACGCTAATCTAGGAATTAAGAAGTTAAGTTGTTCTAAGATGACACTGGAGTCAATAATGCCGTGGATGAGCTTGTGAATGAACTTAAGTGAATTCATTTTGCGTCTGCACTCTAAATTATAGATTTTGTGTCTCGCCATCAACTCACTATGAGGAAAGCCAATAGCGGGATATATCCCGTCAGCTTTGTATGAGAGGTATTTTAAAAACTTTCTTTGAACGGACTCTAAGCGGTCCATATATATTTGATGATGAGGATACCATACCAGGGACGCATACTCAAGCTTAGATCTTACATAAGCATAGTACAGTATTTTCAGTGTAAAGGAGTTGTGGAAATCACCGGTATTTCTTACAATAAAACCATACGCCTTTGATGCAGCCACAACAGCATTTTGAATGTGATAGGAGAAGGAAAGTTTTCTGTCAAATGTGACTCCCAAGTCATTAATTGTACTAGGTCTGTCAAGTTTCCTGTCACCAATACTATATTCATACATCATTACCCCTGTTTTTAAAGTAAACGACAAAACGTGACACTTAGCAGCATTCAAAACAAGTCTGTTTTCACGACACCAGTTGTCAACCCTTACAATGTTGCGCTGCAAGCGATGACAATCGTCAATGTTGGAGACTCTACAGAAAAGTTTCATATCGTCAGCATATATAAGAAAATCGACATCGATAACTTCAGAAATATCATTTATGATCATAATAAATAACAGAGGTCCCAAATTAGATCCTTGAGGAACACCGGACCTTACAGGGTATTCGCTTGACTTATGTCCATTGCACATAACATATTGTTTCCTATGACATAAATAAGATCTGAAAAATAGCAACAATGCATCTGAAATACCAAATCTAGATAACTTATTGAGTAGAATGTTATGGTCTAAACTATCAAAAGCTTTAGAGAAATCAGTATATATTACATCCGTTTGAAGTTGTCTATCGATTGATTCACAAACATATTGAGTAAGATGTAGCAAGTTCGTAACTGTGGACCTGTCCTTCATGAAACCGTGTTGACTGACGGAGGTAGACCTGCTTACATGAAAATATAGCACAGTTTGTATCACTATTTCGAATGTTTTAGCGAAATTACTGATAATTGTGATAGCCCGATAGTTTTCTACACAATTCCTCTCACCTTTTTTAAAAACAGGAGTTACCCTAGACAACTTCCAAATAGATTGAAAGTGATTATATTTCAGAGAGAGATTGAAAATGATCATGAGTGGATATGCTAAAATGGACGCACAATCTCTCACAAAAAATGCAGGTATTTGGTCAGGCCCTGCAGTCATTTTTGGCTTAATTTTCTTGAGCGCCTGTAGCACATCGATTTCCTGTACACTAGGCATGGCTAGTGAAGTAGTGAAATGGTAGTCAGTAGAAAAATTAGATTGAGCTGTAGGAGTATTATAGCTCCCACTAAAGTGTTCCGCAAATGCGCCAACAACATCATTAGGTGTATTCAATCCCAGCCCATTGTACAGCATATCCTTCGGAATACCAGTGCAGGTTCTTTTCCTATTAACAAAAGACCAGAATTTGCCGGAGCTGTTGGATATTTCACACTCTAAAGAGTGAATGTAGCGACGATATGAAACAGCTACATGTTGCTTTATCTCTGAGCGAAGTCTTGTAAATTTTTCTATATAATAAGTATCACCAGTGCGTCTGAAAGTCTTGAATGCCACCATTTTTTGGTTTGAGGGTTCTAATGATATGGCTGTTGTACCAAGGAGGGTACCTATTATTATAAGATATTCTAACTTTAGGAACACAACAATCAAGAATTCGATCTCAAAATAGAAATATTCACAAGCTAAATCAACGTCACCAGAATTTTTCGAATCGCCCCAGCTAATATTCACAATCATTTCATAGAGCAGCTGAAAGTCAGCTTTCCTAAAATTATATGAACCTTTAAGGTCGCTATGCAACACGTTATTATGTTTGGTGGAAGGAAAGGAAGATGAAAAAATATCAACCAAAACACGAAAACAGAATCGGTTAACATACGGCGAATACCGCAAGCTGCCTTGCAAACGGTTTCATTAGGGAAATTTCCTTCTATTTCTTCCATGCATTCAATGAGTGATTCTCTGTTCTCAAACACTACATTTATTGTTCGAATATTAAAATTCCAACGATTTGTTGCTCTTTGGGGAATTTTTTCCCCACAATTCTGTTCAGTACCTCTACGTGTTGAGGAGAATTATTTTAAAATCCCGGAATATCTTTCAAATCCCCAAAGAACACCCGAACTAGAGCATTTGCGGATGCACCTTCGGACATAAGCAGGTTTAACTGATGCGCATAGCAATGCACATAGTGAGCAAATGGATATCTTTATTTAATTTTTGCCTGTACTCCAGCATTATGTCCGCTCATTACCGCGGCTCCGTCATAGCTTTGTGAAATCAGTTTGCTAGGGAAATTTCCTATTAATGGACCTACGACGCTCAAAATATGTCTTGTGAGAGTATCAGCGTCACATTTTTCGGGATTCGTATAATTCCAAAAACGTTCTACTGGTTCGCCGTTAAATACGTATCTGAAAATTGTTACCAGTTGGGTTTTCCCCGAAATGTCCGTTGTTTCATCTGCTATTATCGCCTTAATCAGTTTTATTATTTCTTCATGACAAACTTCAAGAATATAATCCAGTAGATCGTTTTGTATTTCTCAGCAAAAAAATTGATCAGTCTACGAAATATTCCCGGGTTTTGGGAGCTCTCGGTTTCGTCGTGGCCCCGTAGCGCCAAATCAAATGCTCCGCAAAATTTTATACCGAGCACCGACCGACCAATCAGATCTAGTACTTCTCATTAGATCTGTACGGATCTGTATAACGTGCAGCACATGCTTATGCTTAAATCGCGCATTTTATTTTGTAGAGAGAGACAAAAGCAAGCGCGTGCGGCTTGTGTCGAAGTAGTGCACAGACCCTTTTCAAGTGGCCCATGAATAATGTTACGCTGCGGTCGCGACGAAAATGACAAGTACACAATTGGTCGATTATGACGCTTTCTCAATACAAAACAGACTCGACGCTGTGTCTTGCGGGGGCAGCGTTGCCGGTATTGTTTCTATTTGTGTGATAACATGGAAAACAAGTAATGATCAAATTACTACTACCTTCTGTTAAGACAAAAGTTTTGGCAGTTCTGCAGCTCTGCAGAACTTAAGGGCCAGCCGCCCCTGGCTTCTGCAAACGTGATTGTATTTAGCTTATGAGTATTTGTATGTTTTTCGTTAAAGCCGCCGTCTCCTTCCTACGGATGCCGTACTGGTGATGTCAACGATCATTATGGTCATTGTTGTCAGACAACACTATCGCTGCATCATCTGCGTATAGCGTGAAGTCAGCCTGTCCAAAAGAATGTTTTAGTTCATTGACGTATAGGGTAAACAACACTGGCCCCAATATCGGGCCCTGTGGAACACCAATATTTATGTTCATCACATCAGATTTTACCTCTGAGATAAGGCTATCACAGTTCCTTGGTAAAAACACATACTATGTTCTGTGACGTGAATCCAGGCGTGTGGTGAACTAACTATGCCCACTATATTAAAGAATTTAATCATCATACATAGGCAGTTTTGACTCCACTCATTCCTACTCTCAACAGCGCGTGTCTGGCGCATCGAAGGGCCAAAGGGTGAACTGCTGACCACCCTTTATCTGCATACGTGGCGGTTGGTCGGCGAAAGGGATGCGAAAGCTGACAGGCAGGCTCGTGCTCGTACACGCGGTCGAATTTATTCACTGGTTAAACGTGTTCCGACTGACGTGCCAAAGGAAGAGTATGGCGTTGATGCAAATGTAGGGTTCAGTTGTATCGTATACTGCTTGTCAAAGGTAAATGACATAACTTAGGCAGTCCACTCACTTAAGCAGATTTTTTACAATAATCAGTCCTTGCTCTCATGCTTACGTGAATGTTTCGGTACATTTTACGATTTCAAGCAAGTACTGCCTTTCAAGCACGTGCTCTGGATACCAGTTAATGTCTGACAAATCAGGAAGATCTAGCTAGCCTAACCTAACATTCTTTGCAGTCACTAATCATCAATTTTTTGCAGTAACTGATAATACAATTCTGGCAAACTCGAAATTTGATCTTTCTAAACGTTCAGTAATTATAATGCCCCGTTCATCCAAATGGGACTTAAAATAGTCATCAGCCAGTATCAAACCAGTGAGCCCTCGACTAAGAGGAGCCAGTCTGGGCTCTAATCGGTTGTACAAATTTCTGCCTTTAGCAATTATAGCTAAGGTTCTATGCGAGTAAACGTATTCATATTTGGGGAATCCCTGAAGATGCGTTTTCCTTTCGAGCATAGAGAAGCAGAGAAGTCATATGTCTTCAAATCAAAATCGCCTAAACTTTGTAGAAAAGTCGAAAAGGTAAATATATATACAGGGTGGCCCATCCATGTGTGGACGGAATATAACTCATAAACGAATACATTCTGGGAA